TTTATCAAAAGTTTCTGATGAAATGTCCACACACTTTTCCACAGGGACAAAATTTTTCCTGTAGAAAACAACTGAAGGTACAGAAATAACATGTTTTTGCATTAAAAGGCAGAAATATGTATGTGTTCACTGAGCACCTTTAGTGTAGTGGTGGCAGTAATGCACTTAGAGTCTAACCACCAGTAAAACCAAAGAAGAAGAACTTATAGAAGAAGTTTTTATACTTGGCTTTCCTCTCCTAAAAATGATTGCTTGTTGTAGTTTTTAGCAGTACAAATGAAAAAACGACTGGTCCCACCATTTTGGATGTCACAGTTATGACGCAGTAGTGCAGGTCAATGCTGTACGGCCTGGTCCTTGAGGGCCGCTGTCCTGTATGTTTTCTTGTTTTTTCTGCTCAAACACACCTGATTTGCATGAAATGATTAACAGGCTTTTACAGAATTTAACGAGTTAATTGAATCACTGAATCAGGTGTGTTGAAGCAAAGAAACAAGGAAAACATGCAGGATAACGGCCCTCGAGGACCTGAGTTTGACACCCCTGCTAYGGTAATCCAACTGTCCCAATTCTCCAGTTTTTGAAAGCTTGTAGCCTGCACACTATAACACTTATGTGCACTTCGGCAGAGTGCATACTTCAAGAGTGGCGTAGGGCGTAGTGCGAGTATTGGGACAGGGCCGAAGACACCTGCAGACAGGAAGTCACCTCCTTTCTCTTCACTCTGCAGATGGTGGTGGTGGTGTGAAGTAAAGAAGATCTGAGTTCTGATGATCCACAGAGGTTGAACCAGCAGCAGGGTGTTTGAGAAGAAACTGATTGGATCCTGATGATGATGATGATGATGATGATGATGATGATGGTGATGAACTTTTAGTTTTTTATATTTAGCAGAATACTATCCATGAGAGGTTGATGACTGCTTCTGTGTTGTATTTACTTTAAACCAATAAAACTAAAGTCAAGATTAAATAAAAAATATGAAAATTATCTTTTAATGAGTGATGCGGTGTCTCACTTGGTAGAGCTGATGCCTCTTAGCAAGAAGGTTGCCGGATCAAATCCTGGCCCGGGGATTTTTCTGGATAGAGTTTGCATGTTCTCTCCGTGCATGTGTGGGTTGTTTCCGGGCACTCCTGCTTCCTCCCACAGACCAAGACATGACTGTCAGGTTAACTGATAACTCTAAATTGTCCCTAGGTGTGAGTGAGCAAGTGAATGGTTGTTTGTCTCTGTGTGTGTCCCTGTGATGGACTTGTGACCTGTCCAGGTAGTATAGTACCCTGCCCCTCACACCGTGACTGCTGGATATGGGCACCAGTGACCCCCGTGACCCTAGAAAAGGAATAAGCGAGTATTGATGGATATAGCTGGATGGATAGATGGATCTTTTAATGGAGCTAAAATCACTTCATGCAAAAAATCTGAGATTTAAAAAAATTACCACTCAAGTTTGGTAAATATTTCTAATTCAATTTATTTGTTTTCTGCCTTTAAATAACAATTTCATTAAACTGAACAAGTTATATTTGTGTCCAGGTTGGTTTGATCCAAACTAACAGAAACTTTACAGTTTCCATTGGACTTGGGTTATTTTGTATCATTTTTAGGTGAAACATCCAGAGTTTAAACCATAAACACTGGGGAAAACATTGGGCCTCATGCAAAAACCGTTCGTACGCACAGATTTGTTCTTAAATTGTGCGTACGAGTGATTTAGGAGAATTTGTGGCATTCACCAATGTTTTCGTATTCTAAGATTTTTTTTCAGATACGAACAAAATTTACGAGTGGTCCCGACCTGTCGTATATTTTACGACCAGTCAGTCAGGATTTTCCTCCCTAATAACTTTATACTTCGTTAGTTTAAAGGTATTTTGAGTTGAAAATAAATCACACTCCATTATTATGTTGACAAT